CATATTTTCCTACTTCTTTGTATAACTGCTAACTTTTTATAGGATATCAAACACTGTTAATTTTACCTGTTGGGTACTGGGTTTTATTTTTTCATATTTATACAAATATTTTTGAGCTTTGTTCTTGGAGTAAAGATACTTAGAAAGATTTCAAGTTTTTTGAGGCTTGCTTTTATACTTTTTTATGTGAGACCAGAACATCTTTTAATCTAAGGACAATTTTGTCCCACTGATGCACAGCCTTATCCTTCTGGTATATAACTCTGACATCCATAACTCATGCGGTCTGTCCACCCTGGCTAGTGGGATTACAGGCTCTTCTAAGCCCTATGTGAATTCCAGTGATTTTTCTTCTAGTCCTTTTATGCAGTTCTTTCCCCAAATGTCACAATTTCCTGACACTAAGATGCTGTTCAGTACTCAGGTGAAAACTCAAAGGCGATGCTCTTCAGATCTTTAGAGCTCTATTTCTGTGCACTTGTCTCTTTGCTACTTTTCCCCATGAGTCCCAATGGCTGTGGCCCTACTGGACTCACACTGCCACCTCCTCATAGGCTCCAAGGAAAATCCAGTTCCTAGTCTGCCTTGTCCAAAAGCAAACATATTCTTAATGACATTTTGATGATGCAAAAAAGGAAGAAAGAAAGGAAAAGTAAGAAAATAAACACCATTTAAGAAAGAGAATGGAGATTTCCCTATATTCTTAATGACATTTTGATGATGCAAAAAAGGAAGAAAGAAAGGAAAAGTAAGAAAATAAACACCATTTAAGTAAGAGAGTGGAGATTTCCCTGGTAGTACAGTGGACAAGCATTCACCTACCAACATAGAGGACACAGGAGACCCCTGGTCTGGGCAGATCCCACATGCTACGGAGCAACCCACCCCACACGCCATGATTACTGAGTCTGTGCTATAGGGCCTGTGTGCTGCAGCTACTGAAGTCCACACGCCTAGAGCCTCTGCTCTGCAACAAGAGAAGCCACTGCAATGAGAACCTCCGCACCACAACTGCAAAGTAGCCCCCACTTGTCCTGGCAGCAACTAGAGAAAGCCACCCACAGCAACGACGACCCCGGGCTGCCAGAATAAATAGACAAATGAATTTTTAAGTGAATGGAAAGGTAGGGAAGGAGAAGTAAAAGAAGTGGCAAAATTGCTTATAGAATTTCTAATAACATTGGAGAAGGCTGATGATGCTTAACATTTTAAAGAATCCAAAAGTGTACATACAATACAGACTCAATTATGAAAACACAAACACACACAGTGGCTCAGATAGTAAAGAATCTGCCTGCAATGCGGGAGACCCAGTTCAATCCCTGGGTCAGGAAGTTCCCCTGGAGAAGGAAGTGGCAACCCATTCCAGTATTCTTGCCTGGGAAATCCCATGGACACAGGAGCCTGGTGGACTGCAGTCCATGGGGTTGCAAAGAGTCAGATACAACTGAGTGATTTCAAACACACACACACACACACACACACAAATCCGGGCCAAGACTAAGATACTTAAAACATTGCCTTTTGGAATAGAATTTTTCTTATCTCTAGTTTTCCTGTATTTTCTATCATTTTTAAAAGCAATAATTAAGTAGCATTTTCATAATAAGGAAGAAAAAATACAACTGAGATAAACTGCATTCACCTTAAAATAAGAAGGAAAATAATGAGAAAAAGAGATCAAAATGTCTCAAATTTTGTGATAATTTTTTAGGTAGAATGCTTCTACAAGTTTTCATATGGAGATTGGAAGGTCCACGTATTTAACTTCCCAAAACATCACCACTCACCACCATTGTCGTCACTAAAAAATGTAACCATCGAAGATCTGACCTGTAATTCCAAACAAGATGCACACAATACTAGGTTAGACTGCGTTCTGCCTTAAACACTGACCTGAAGATTCTGCAATGATAGTCAGTGATCAAAGACCCACTGGCATCTGAAATGAATGTCAGAAATCAGGCTCCAGCTCTCCAAATTCTTGACTTACTCCGATTATGCTACAAGTAGGTTTTCAGAGGGGATATTGAACTTGTCTGTAACATTTAAACTCCATAAAAATCAAAGAAAAGGGGAACATTATTTTAAACATACCCAAGAACAAATAAGTCTGTAGGGGTTACTGCCTCTAGAAACCTAATTCTCTTTGCTGGACTTAGATTTTGTATGTCCTCCAACCACGCTTCCTCTACCATCTTGTATTGATGAATTCAGTGTTTGTAGGATTTAAAGAGACTTTGTGTAAAGATAGTTTATCTAAATGAACATAAACAAAATAAAAATAGTCTTTCCCCCCAAAAGCAAACATTTTGCCTCTTTGTTCACTGATTTCCCAGTAAAATTCAGCGCCGCTTCTTCTATGTAAACCTTGGATTTGCCATGGCTAACTCAGTTTTCTGCTATTCTGTTCATACATATTAAAAGACTCAATGACATAATTGGCTTTGCTTTTCACTCAGTTGCTTAGGGCTTATAAAAATAAAACACAAATACCCACAGCTGTTCAAGGCAATCACTCAGCTCTTTGAGAAAAAAATTACAGATACAGGGACACATGGCCTCAGTCCCAGCACAACATTCAGAATCAAGGGTACAGCAACTGCAGCTGTGTTTTAGGGGGAAAACAGCAGAGTTCCTGGCCTTCTGAGCTAGTTATAGTTATAATATGGACACACAAGATCAAGGGAGTAATGTCTCTTGAATATGACCAACTGATATCCAAAGCCTTTGTCTATGGGAACACCTTGGGATTTCTGATTATCCAAAGGAGATATAGTTCAGCAATCCAGAAAATGAGGAGCTAGCAGCACACTGACTTTTAGTGGTGAAGTTGATAAAGAATATACCAGGACATGGTCCCAAACCTGATCCAGTCCTAGTTCTCTCTTTGTGGCAGCCCTCAGTCATCTTTCCTCTCTACTGTACATGGGATACGTACCCATGTCCACAGTGTATCAGGTACACTGGATCCTACCTGATCAAGTGTCTTCATCCGTAAAGCCAGCGGAAAGAACTCTGAACTCAAAGCAAACATGGTTCCTTTTTTTCAGTTTAGAAATTAACAGCAGGGAAATATTATCTTCCTACCCAAGAAGACCAGTGCTGAGAGTTGGGTATGCTCTGAAGTTATGTCCACATGAGTTTTCAGATGTCCTGGGACTCACAATGTGTGTGGTCTGTGTGCGCATGTGAAAGTGTATAGTTTGTATGATAAGACAAAAATGGAAGGTGGACTAAAAAGAAAGAAAAGTATAAAAAAAATATACCAGGAGATCTATCCTGCCCTTTCTGCAGCTAGCCTAATTACAATAATTTGGCTTTCTAAGTACAATTGAGCAAAGGCATGATGACAGGGGCTTCCCTGGTGGGTCAGAGAGTAAAGAATCTTCCCACAGTGTGAGAGACCCAGGTTGGATCCCTGGGTGGGGAAGACCCCCTGGAGAAGGGAATGGCTACCCAGTATTCTTGCCTGGAGAATTCCATGGACAGAGGACCTGGCAAGCTACAGAGCTGAACACAGCTGAGCGACTAGCACATGCATACACACATGAAGACAGAGCAAGGGAAGGTGGTAGGTCAGATGTCTTTGAAGAATAACCAAGTGGGTGATACTGTCTGGTTCTACCCTTAATATCCTCAGGGCCCCCAGTCTAGTAAAGCTTCCAGCTGCTACCCAGAGGATGTGAGATTACCGAAGTCATGACTCTTGCTTCAAACATGGCTGTCCTAGCTGCCTCCAGTCCCCTTCAGTTGTGGCTACCCCCAGAGCTTGCCTTATGAGCCCTTAAATCTCAGAACTCCTGCACAACAGTTTTCAACTTTATCTACATTTCTAGCTTCATCACAGAATAGAGTTGGAGCCCCTTTTCCACATCTCAGTTCTATTGCCACAGCCCTGTTCATTCTTCGTTGAAGTAGCAAGTGAATCAAATAGCAGCTTAAATCTTGATGCCATTTTCTGTCCTAGATTACCATAAAGCCTTTCTAAAATAATTCACACATTGATTTGGGGGCTACACTGGCACTGCTCAAACATTTCTTATAGCAGCCCACTTAGCCATATCTGACGTTTAGTGACACCATGGACCCTCTGCCCATGGAATTTTCCAGCAAGAATACTGGACTGGGTTGCCATTTCCTTCTCCAGGGGATTCTCCCAACCCAGGGATCAAACTTGCATTTCCTGCATTGGCAGATTCTTTACCACCGCATCACGTGGGAAGCTCAACCTTCATTCATTCTTAATTTTCAATGGAAAAAGAATTTGAGAATAATCAAGATGATACCAAAAAAAAAAATCTAACAAAGGGAAAAGCTAGTGGTAATTTTTCATATGTTAATAAATGTTTATTAAGCGAATGAATGTGTGTATAACAATATAACTCTACTACCAAATCAAGTCAAAACTAGTAATGCACTCATAAAGATCATTTCTTCCAAACTTCAGTTTTTTCTGTGCATCCTTAAATTTTGTACCTGAGGTGAGTGCCTCACTTGCCTTACTCTAGCCTGGGCCTTGTTTAAAACTCAGCAATTTTCTAGTTTCTAGTTTTAATCATACCTTGAAAATCACGTCACTTTCCTATAAGCATGTAAGGAGAATCTTACATCTGCAGATCACTTCCCAACCCATCTGGAGGCTCTTTATGCTCCAGGCCCTTTGCATTTGCTGTTCTTCACCCTGCATTACTCTTCCCATCTTCACATGGTTGGCTGCCTCTCCTCCTTAACAGATTGTCTTATCAGAGAAATCTTCACCAAACTTCTTCTAAAATTGGTTTTTTAGTAACTTTCACTTATTGTTTGGAACACAAATCCGGTTTCTTCCATAGCACTTTTAAAAGTTGCATTTATTCACTTATTTACTGAGTTCTTTATCACGGGTACTCCCCAGCCCCCATTACTCTATAAAGGCCAGAGGATAGGGACCTTATCTTGTTCTCAATGTACGCTGACTGAGTGAGTGAAGAAACTAAGGGAGACTTAGAAACCCTCACATAAGCTGGGACCTCCACGGGCAGAAGACTTTCGTTCTGCTTCCTGTTGAACATCTGGAATGCAATCACCTTTCCAGTTGCCCCAGCACCCACCAGAGACACGAACTCCTGAAAGTAAATCAGGTGGTGAGCATGGTTTGGGAGATGTGGTATAGATGGGATTCATTTATCATTGAGAACTAGCAAGGGGGTTTGAAAGAAAAAGTACAAGTCAGGGTAGAAGTTGAATGTGTAATGAGAGGGAAGAGTGTTGTGGGCCAGGGCCAAATGGGAGTCTAAACCAGACTTTAAGGGGTCTCCACAGACCCTGCCAACCAGAGAAAACACTGGCCTGATCAAACTAGAGAGGCCAGAGCACAAATTACCCTAGGCAGTGGCTTCACCGTGGAGTGCATTCAGGTCTGGCACTAATCAGGTGGAGAACTGATAGCACTAAGGAGCCAGAGGACATCGTTTATGAGAACAAGGACATCCTCCTCTCAATACCAGAAGATCACGTGAGCAAATACACCAAGACGCCATCTTGGAGTGAAACAAGAAGGAAGAAGAAAGACCAAAGACCAAAAAGATTAGCTAAACTGTTTTTTTTTCATATTCATAGATTATTTTGTAATACTTTTTGTTTTTCCTTTCAGCAATACTTTTTGGGAGGCCTTTTTGAAGAATTATACAATAAACAAGTAATGAGCTGTTAATATATAGAAAACAGAGGAGGATAATTTTAAAAATGCTATTATCAAAGCTGATCTGATGCTCAATGGAAAAAATGGAGAAGGGACACTATCATTTTGACTCAATATGCTTAACTTTAGGTTTAAATCACTGAACTGGATTAAGTTTATTTTTCTTCTGAAAAGAAGATCACTTCAATTTTGGAGAACTAGGAATCTACCTTTCCTCAACACATTCAAGTGGTAGTGTAAGAAAATTAAAAGATTTCACAGCAAATGAATAAAAGAACTCTGATGGGCTATGATTTGGAAACATCAGTCTATATAGCTGATTTGAATACTACCTATTATTGCTTTTTGTCTGGTTCTAGAATGCTTGACTTATAAACCTCTAGAGCTGGGCAATTTCTTAGTAGTCATGTGTTTCAACCTTCCTTATTTTACAAATGAGAAGTGAAAGTGAAAGTCACTCAGTCCTGTCCGACTCTTTGCGACCCCATGGACTATCCAGTCATGGAATTTTCCAGGCCAGAATACTGGAGTGGGTAGCCTTTCCCTTCTTCAGGAGATCCTCCCAACCCAGTGATCAAACCCAGGTCTCCTGCATTGTAGGTGGATTCTTTACCAGCTGAGCCACAAGGGAAGCCCAAGTATACCAGAGTGGGTAGCCTATCCCTTCTCCAGGGATCTTCCTGACCCAGGAATCGAACTGGGGTCTCCTACATTGCAGGTGGATTCTTTACCAACTGAGCTATCAGGGAAGCCCCACAAATGAGAAAGAGATATTATTTGTTCATCCCAGTTTTGTTCCTTTAAGATGCCATCCTTACCTCAAAAGTCTTGCCAGAATTCATATAGAGGTCCCTACTAAGTCACATGGATCCTCCCCCTTCACTTGCCCTGCACTCCCATCCTATTCCAGGCTCTTCCTCTCTAATAATGCTTCATCCAGACTCTTATCCACTGCATAACTCAGTGCAATATCTGCCCCTTCAGCGGTTCTGACTGCAGAGCCCTGCAGTAAAACGATCTTATGAGTAGCTTCTAGGTAATCATCTTCCTGGTTTGACCTGGCCCTCAAGACCTCACACCAGCATATGCACCAGTATTCATGCCTGGAGAATCCCATGGACAGAGGAGCCTGGTGAGCTACAGTCCGTAGGGTCACACAGAGTCAGACATGACTGAAGCAGCTTAGCATGCATGCATGGAAGGCAAGATTCTCAGGTCTGTTCTGACCTTGGCAATGAGAATAACTATATTTTTTATTTTTCCACATCTTGAGCTCTTCAATTAGATCATAGATTCCTTGAAACAAGGGTTATTCATTTTTATATTCTTCCCCATATTATCTAATACAGCTCTTGGCATATAACTAGTGATGAAAATATTGATTAATTGATTTAAATCACTCCCTGGTCACCAGTGCAACCCCACACCATATTCTGAATGAGAAGAGTAGGCAGCTGCTGGCTTGATATAAATTTAGAGTTTAGGAAATCTCTCCCAACCCAAGGACTGGTTCTCTCTGCCAGGATCCCTAAAATAACCACATTACTCACTCCTTTGAGTCAAGGCCTTGAAAATTCTTGTTAAAATGCAAATGTCATCTGAGAGGGATAACATGAAATTATCAATACCTATTAATAACATAGAATATGATTAGCTTAGAAGAGCATATGAAAGATCCAGAGCAGGGAAAAGCAGGCTTAAGTCAGTCCCCAAATTTAGGACCTGGTGAGATCAGGAGCAGTATCTTGGCAATAGGTGGGTATAAATTGAAAAGAACAAGTATCTCAGAAAACTCAAATGAGGTAACAGTAAAAATGCATGATGCAAAAATGTACAAATGATTAGTAGTCATATAATAACTATGTTTAGGGTACATACTCTGTGTCAGGTGGCCTTCTAGGTGCTTTATATATTTTAGCTCACTTTTCATTTCTTCATCTATAAGACAGGTATAATGATTATTCCACATCTTTAGTTGAAGAAACCAGAGAGAGAAACATTAAGTGATTTACCCAATGTCATGAAACCAGTAACAGGCTAGACCTAGAACAAGCTGTCTGGTTCTAACGTCTCGATGTTGAACCTCCGAGCCACAGCATTTGATTGCTGTTTTCATGATATGGTGATGATTTTAATCACAGAAAGAGAGTTAATCATTCATTCCTCTTGAACTCACTCACCTACAACCCACAAGTCTCTCTATGTCTATTCTTTTCCAGTCCACCTGAAATCTAACCCAAGTTCTCTTTATTTCTCTTTCAGGAAGCACTCACTCTCTGCCAAGCACTATTCCAATATTGCATCTCATTTAAGCCTCAGATAAAATATTAATGATTTCTACATGAAGAAACTAAGGCACAGGAATGCTTATTACCCTTAAAGTCGTTCTGTAAATATTATCCTGGGATTTAAACACACAAAGGCTAATTCAGAGCTCTTTCCATGTTTCCCTCGTGCTCCCAACCACATGGTTATCCTAAGAGTTTCCTAACTTGCTTTGCTTTTGCTTATCTTTCTCCAACTCCGACATCACAAACCATAAGATTTCCCCTCCTTGCTCCTATTCTGTCACTCAAGGAAGTGAATACTGTGGCTACTACTTCCTCTTGCTGCTCCAGGAATAAGTACCTACGGAATATCTAATGGCACATTTGGCTATATTTTTTTAAAAAAAGAAGAAGAAATTAAACATTTCTCCAAGGCCCCAAACAATTCAACAAAGGGCAACTCAGTGGGGAGAGGGAAGGGTGGAGGGACAAGATAGAGGTTGGGGATTAAGAGGTACAAGCTACTATGTATAAAATAAATGAGCTACAAGGACACATGGGCTTCCCTGATAGCTCAGCTGGTAAAAAAAAAAAAATTCCGCCTGCAATGCGGTAGACCTGGGTTCGATCCCTGGGTTGGGAAGATCAACCTGGCGAAGGGAACAGCTACCCACTCCAGTATTAACAACCATCAGTGGAAAAGGCCATAACCTACCAGAAAAGATTTCCTATAACTAAAGATATAAAAAATGAACCACAATCAGACACAAGAAAAACTTCCTGTCTTCCCCTTTCTACCAGAAAGGGCAGATAGACTCTCAATCATTAGAGGCAACACTAGACTCTTATCAGCCCAGAGATGGTGCCAGAAAATACTACATAACAAACTTTGCTAAAAACAGCACCTGTCCATTTTTGTTGTTGTTCAGTTGCTCAGTCTTGTCCAATTCTTTGTGACCCCATGGACTGCAGCATGCCAGGCTTCCCTGTCCTTCACTATCGCTCAGGGCTTACTCAAACTCTTGTCCATCGAGTCAGTGATGCCATCCAACCATCTCATCTTCTGTCATCCCCTTCTCTTCCTGCCTTCAATCTTTCCCAGCATCAGGGTCTTTTCCAGTGAGCTGGCTTTTTGCAACAGGTGGCCAGAGTATTAGAGCTTCAGCTTTAGTATCAGTCCTTCCAGTGAATATTCAGGACTGATTTCCTTTAGGATGGACAGGTTGGATCTCCTTGCAGTCCAGGGGACTCTCAAGAGTCTTCTCCAACAACACAGCTCAAAAGCATTAATTCTTTGGTGCTCAGCCTTCTTTATGGTCCAACTCTCACATCCATACACAACTACTGGAAAAACCATAGTTTTGATTAGACAGACCTTTGTCGGCAAAGTAATGTCTCTGCTTTTTAATACTCTGTCTAGGTTGGTTAGTTTCCTTTATATATTTATCTTTCCATAATTTGCCATCCCCTAGAAGCTCAAGGTGCTTTTCCTTTGTTTTGTCATTACTCTACAAGCTTAATATTCTTTATTGTGCTCAGTCGCTCAGTCGTGTCCGATTCTTTGCGACCCCATGAACTGTGACCCGCCAGGCTCTTCTGTTCATTATTCTTTATTAAGATGCTATAAAAACCTGGCTGACACCTTGATCTTGGGCATCCCAGCTTCCCGGACTGTGAGAAATAAGTGTTTGTTGTTTTAGCCACCTAGTGTATGGTATTTTACTGTAGCAGCCCAAGCAGCCACACAAGTCCCTTCGCACTGGAGTTTTAAATTACTTTGTGAAGGACAGGGAAGCCTGGCATGCTGCAGTCCACGGGGTCACAAAGAATCGGAGATGACCAAGTGACTGAACAACAACAAACAACTTCTTTTCTACTCTTACACTTCCATTGAGGTTCTCATGGTCTTACATGTCTAACAGCCTGTGCCAAGAATGCAAAGCCCTAACTGATCTTTACCAGGACCATTTCTCAGGGTTATCTATAACCTGTGGCAGTGAGGCAATGTTTTCCTCTGGGACAGACTTCCTTACGGCTTGCTATAAAACCAGATACAATTGCTTATAATACTATTTACAGTTGATGTTCATCATCAGTGGATTCAGTGTTTCTCTCCTGTAACACAACCCACTACATGTGCAAACATCCCTCTGAACCC